GCCCGGCAGCGTGCGTTCACAGTTTCTTCAGCCACTCCAGGCAGGGGCCCTGTGGGTCCTGAGGGTGGCTCAGCACATCCGGCATGTTCCCGGCATGTTCAGAGCAGCTGGTGGGTTTGAACTGCTGCCTTTGTAGTTATCAGCTCCTTGTGTAACCCACTAAGCCACCAGCGCTCCCTACATTCAAAAGGTAAGGGAGCATAAAGTTTTAGCCTTGTAGGCTTATTGATACATGGAAGCTGGACGTACAGGGGAAAACATTTGTTTGCTGTAACTCAGTCTAGGGGTATTGTCATTGAAGAGAAGAATACATTCTTGCTGAAACATTAACCAAATATTTTGTTGACTCTCAATTTGGTATCACCCCCACTGACAGCGTCACCCAGTGCGGTCCCCCTCCCCCCTCCCCCGGCTGTTTCAGTGACAGCATTGTGGTTAGAACCTGAGGCACAAACAGTAACCCTGCCGCCCTTGCTTGTGGGGGTGGAGCCAACCCAGAGGGCACATATAAGCACCGTGCCTGCTCAATGCTCGTGGAAAGTTCTGGGTACCCCTTCAGCCCACCCAGGGCCTCACTGGCCACTCCTGCTCTTGCCAAAGCCGGGAAGCCCTTGGGGATGATTGGAAGCTGCCCTGGGCTCCCTTCAACAGCCTCTTAGCACTTTTTTCTATGTCTCCGTCTGTCTGGGCCCCATCTGACTGTGGCCTATATCCTGAGTGTTGAGGGCAGGGTTCCTCAACCCAAGCTCTTCTGGAACACAGAAAGTGTGACAGGCAACAGGGCTCCAAGCTGCCCTGGACCCACTAGGAGACCAACTCGCTTTTTTGCAGCACCCTGCGCCTTGCCATGGACAAGTGGGGCTTTCTCAACCACCCATCCGACCCCACTGGGGCTGTTTGCTCAGTTCCTGTTTCACAAAGAAACAGGGAAGTGGAGGGCCGGCTAGCCTCAGGGCAGGGGCAAGATGAGTGAGGGCTCAGGGTGCCTCCCCCTCCTAGCTGTGATGAGCAGAGGGGAGGGAGGGGAGGGATGGGGGGGGGACACTGGTACTGGGCGTTTCATATGGTTGGTAGATCTGGCACCAAATGTGCCCAACTACAGGTTTGAGGAAGTGCCTAGCGAGTTGGTAGAATCCACTGCTGATGCGTTTTAGCCAGGGAGAAGGGTTGCTGACCCGGCCCCTTACAGGTCCTTACCTGGGAAGAGCTTGAGCCGGCACCTGCGAGGGGCTGACTGGTTACCAACGTGAAAAGGAACTCATGAGACTCATTGTGTCTGTGGGTGGAGAAAGATGAGGCTTTCGGCTCCTGTGAAGTGTTCCGGTCTCAGAAACCCATTGGGGTAGCTCTGTTCTGTCCTACAGGATCAGAATCAACTTCATGACAATCAGTTGTTTTGTTTGTTTGATTGCTTGTTTGGGTTCTATCTATCTATCATCTATTTATCTATCTATCTATCTATCTATCTATCTATCTATCTATCTATCTATCTATCTATCATCTATCTATCTATCTATCTAACATGTCAAGACACGTGGTTAAGAACCATGACCATAACAGTTTGTCACTGCTATGGACACCTCAAACAGGTCTTCTTGGATTTCAGTGACAATAAAGGAATGACAGTTCTCATGATCAAATGTCATTGAGTCAAAGCTGACTCATGGCTGTGTTAGAAGAGACCTGTCCTTTGTAGGGGGTTTCATGGCTGGTCTTTTGCAAGTCAATTGCCAGGACTTCTTTTCTCAAGCACCTGTAGATGAACCCCACAGTCCGGAAGCTGGCGATTTCATCTGAGTTCTGGCCCCAGCGGACTGTACGACCTTTAATGAGCCCTTTCCTTGTTTGGGGTTAGTGTTGACATTTCCTTAACTGTCCAAGGAAGGAAACGAACCCGCTTTTCAGTTGTTTATGGATTTGCTGGGTCATGCGTTCCTCTGTCTGGGAGCAGCCACGTCATTTCTTTGCAGGGCCTTTCATTCAGAATTGAGGATCCTTGGAGGCACAATAGGTTATGGGTTGGCCTGCTAAGCACAAGGTTGGCAGTTTGAAACCATCAACTATTCTGATGGAGAAAGATGAGGCTTTCTACTACCCTAAAGAGTTATAGTCTCAGAAACTCACAGGGGCAGTGCTACCCTGTCCTACAGGGTTGCTATGACTCAGCATCAGCGAGATGACCTTAAGTTTGGCGTTTTCATTCACAATGGTAAGAATTTCAAGGGAACAATAGCAAAGCATTAAGCCAAGCCAGAGTCCTTCTGAACCAGGGATCCTGCATTCTCAGACTGGCTATAGTCGCATAAAGCCAGCCCTACAATGGCTTCAAATAAAATGGTATGGGCAGCTCAGATTGCTTGGCACGCTCTGTGTTCCTTGGGGATCCCTGTGGCAATTCTGAGGAACATCAGGCTCTTGGCAGCAGAGCTGAGAAAGTGTGCTAGCTAGTCCCTTGAACACCTTTTAGAGGCCGTGGTGGCTCAGGAGGATTCTCACCTTCCGTGGTGGAGAAATCTGATGCGCAACCACATCCATCTGTCTGCAGGGTTGCTATGGCTATGCCGTGGAACATGTTTCTGGAGAACTTCGAGACTAAGGACCAGGAAGAAACACCCAGCGCTCTACTTTCAAAAATCTGTCAATACAAACCCTGAGGATCACACCTGTCTGACCCATAGCCCATTGTGGGGATGGCCTAGGACCAGGCAGCATTGCATTTTCTTGTGCATGAGATGACTCCAAATCTTCCTGATTTTGACGATTTATGCAGAAAACTCGGGTCCCTGATCCCTTCCTTACCTACCTCCAAAGGGGAGACCAGAGTTGGAGTGGCGCTGAGCAAATGAGAGCGTTCGCATCTCTTGTCTGTGTGGCTTCCTGGCTTACAGAGGGCTGCCATATCCGGGTCCTGTGAGCCTCTCACCACAAGCTCAAGAGGAGGCGGGACAGGGATTTCACAGACGGGTCACTGAAGACCAAAGAGGTCAAGTGACTTTCATAAGGCCACACAGCTGGGACTAGCACCCCAGAATCCTAATTTCTAGGGAAAAGAGCTCTTTTCTATAGTAGTAGGGGGTGGGTGGTGGGGCGGCACCCGTTGATAAGCTCACTCCTCCAGCATAAAAACACAGAAGTGTCTGAGGGGGCATTTATCTATCTTTACTTGCTGCAAGTGTGAGGGAGTTTGGCTGTGTGAGCCCCCTCTCTGCACCATCTACTAGAGTCTGGCTTCACCCAGGTCCCAAAGAAGAGAGGAAGTGGGGATGGCTATGGTCCCAACATGGCAGCTGGAAAGGAGCAGTTAACGTATGGGGAAGAGATGAGGCAGAACTTGAAGGTCTCAAATGGAAAAGCAAACATGCTGGAGGGTGAGTTTCCCGGGGCTGAAAGGCCCCCAGTACCATCTTGTTGCCCATGGTCTACCAGAAACCCAGGACCCAGTGTCAGGCTGCCAAGGTGACGGTGTGGGCTGGGAGGCAGTCTGGTACAGGGCATGCAAATTGGGTCTGAGTTCTAGTTCTGCTTCTTTCCAGACTCAGTTTCCTCATCTATAAAGTTGTTGGTGTTAAGGGCCGTCGGATCAGCTTTGGACTCACGACCGAGTAGAACTGGCTTCTAGGGTTTTCTAGGCGCTACTCTTTACAGAAGGCTCCCTGGTGGTGCCGTGATTAAAGCACCCATCTTCTAATTGAAAGGATGGTTGCGAGACCAAGATGCGGCCGACTGTTCCTGTAAAGATCTACAGCCTTGGAAACCCTCTGCCGAAATCCTACTCTGTCCTATCAGGTTGTCATGAGCTGGAATCAACCGGATGGCACTTCAGGGGTTGGGGAGTATCTTCATGGAAGAAACTATCCAATCCTTGTGCCTTGGAGTCATAGGGTGGCTTTGATCCGCCAACCTTTCAGTTAATAGCCCCTTGTTTCACCTCTACATCACCAGAGCTCTTATCCATAAAATGGCGAGATCTTATCACTTGACAGGAGCTCTGGTTTCCAGAAGCAGACTGCCACAGCTTTCTCCCACCCAGTCCCTGGAGTTAGTGGGTTACATGTTGCATCCAGCTCGCCGCCGGGGAAATGGGGAATGTTCAAGGCAACTTCCCAGAGGTGGTTGTGGACATCAAATGAGCCAATGCGTGTAAAGCTTTGTAGTACGTACAGGGCCTGGTCCACAGGAAACACTCAGTCCCTGCTGGTATTGATGATCACTTGATTATGAGTTGGATTCAATCCGTTGGTGGTGAGATTGGCTTAGAGCAGTCTTTGTGGATGAACAGATGAGAAACAGGCTCTTGGCTGGGGGTTCGGGGGTGGGGCCCTCCCATGCCAGCTGTAGCTCTCAAAGGTCATACCCTCCCCATACTCTCCTGCCTGGGGCTCTGTGAGCGCCCCCTGCTTTGCTCCCCAGAGCAAAGGGCTGACTCTAGCCATGGTGGACCACCTTTCAAGCTTCCCTCGGCGCCCTGCCTCCCTCCCTTTCAGCACTGCCTAGTTGCATGGGGGGAGGCACCACTGCTCTCACGCCCACACATGCACACGCTCCTTCACAGGCGCATTCTCCAGCCCACGTGCGCCTCCCCCCACCCTCCTGTCCCCACCCCCACCTTCCCCACCACAGAAACCACCAGCAACAGCAGTCTCCAATGCCACAGCAGACACAATGCACAACTGAGAGGCAGGCGTGGCTGGCAGGCTGTTTTGAGCATCTAGCAGAATGTGAGCCCAGGTGGCTAACGGCTGCCCCCCCCCCCCCAGCTCATCTCCCCCATCCGGAGAGAGCTGAGAAGGGGATGGGATCCTTCCTGATGCTGAAGAACAAACAGCTGCTCATGGGCCCACCTCGGCGCCACCGTTCAGTTTTTCTGTTGGGGGGGGCCGGGCGGGGAGGCGGAGGGCGGGGGACGGCTGGAGAGGACCAGGCAAGGCGACCTCAAGGATGTAGTGGCTATGTCGGGGGAAAATGAAAGACACACACACACAAACCAAAACCACCAATGCTTTGCCGTGGAAGCCATTCTGACTCAGGCTGACGCCATGTTGTTACACAGGACAACTGCTCCATGGGGTGTTCTTGGTTGTCGTCTTTACAGGAGCAGGTTGCCAGGCCTTTCTTCCACAGTGCTGCTGCTGAGTGGATTTGAACTGGCAGCTTTTAGGCTGAGAGTCACGCCGGCCAGGGAAGTCCAGCTGTTCCTGTCTATGGTAGGGCCAAAACCTACAGACAACAACACCCCTAGACTCCCCTGGCGCCGGGCACTAGGACCAGGTGGGCCAGGGCCAGCTGTGGCTTCAAGGATATGGAAAGACCACAAGTCAGGACCAGTGTGGGTACATCCAGCAAGGGCTCTCCTAGGGCCCTGAGCCGCTGCGGGGACGGGGGGAGAGACCCTGCCCAAATGGTCTGGGTGTTGGGGGGTGGGCAGCAGTAGCAGCCTCTGCCAGGTGGGGTCGACTGGACTTATGGGAAGGAAGGGACTTCCTTGGCTCCGTGGTTGAGAGCTGAGCATGTGCGTGGTCCTGGAGAAGGAAGCTGAGAGCAAGAGTCACCAGGCAATGGGCTGATGGTGGGGTCTTGGGTGGTGCTTGGGGTGCGGGGTGAAGAGAGCTGAGCCCCACATCTAGGTGGAGGAGGGGTCAGCAGGGGTGGCTGGAGCTTCTAGATGCTCCAGCTGAGCATGGCAAGAGTAGAGGCTGCTAGCGCGGTGGCCAGGGGGGCAGTGCGTGGGGCCCTGGAGTCCAGAGGCTCTGTGTGCCGCTGAAGCCACTCCCACTCCTCCAGCAGCTGGTGCCGGCGCAGCTCCGGGCCCACTTTCTCACGAATGGTCCTGTAGTAGCCATTCAGGTACTGGAGCTGCAAAGGGTGGGAGGGGCTGAGCTTCCAAGAAGGGAGCTCAGGGCACCATCCAGTCCCCTGCTGCCTGCCTTGGTCCAGTTCCCTATAGGTCCCCAGTCATTGTCAACCATAGGCATTCTCCGGACATTCCAAACGCAGGCCCCACCATGGCGATGCATGTCGCAATGGCTCTCTTGGGGGCGGGAGGAGGGCTAGATTTCAGGCCCAGGACTGAGAGTTCGTAGGGCAAGTATTCCTGTCCTCATTTTACAGGACAGGGGACTGAGATCCAGCGAGAAAGGCCTGGTAGTGGCAGAGTCCCAAGACCGGCGACCCCGGCTAAGACTCCTCAGCAGTTGGGCCCACTGGGCTGGCTGGAGAGTTCTAGAAACTCTAGGGTCTCTGGTGAGTTGGATGCAATGCCCTGTGTATGTCTACAGGCGCCACAAGTCTGGGCCCTCCTAGGGAAGGGGAGGGGTGGAAGGCCCTAAGGTGGGGGTGGGGGTGTGTGAATTCACCAAGGAGAAAGCACTCACCTGCTCCGGGGATAACAGGCTGACATCGATGAGGTTCCGGTCATAGGGTACCAAGGACACCGTTTCAAAGGTCAAGTAGGTTCCTGGGTACTGAGACCCCACAGGGAACGGGAGTTGGGGGAGTGGAAAGTGAGAGAGAAGGAGGAGTGAGGCTGCTGGGAAGGAGGGAGGAACCTACCTACTTCTTGTCAATCTTGAAGACTTAACCTCTTAGTCTGCCACTTAGCAATCCCCCCAGCATTAGCACTCCCCACCGGAATCCTGAAAACTTGACTTCACTCAGTTGTTTTCAAAGCAACTGGGGGTGGGGTTCCGGGGGGCTGGTCCATGGGCAGATTCTTAGACAAGGTCTGGGAACCTATGTTGACATCATTGGAAGAGAAGTGTTGGTGGCTGTTTTATATCTGTTTTATTTGCAGTCCCTGGGTGGTGCAAGCAGTTAGCTTGCTCTGGTGCTTAAATAGAAGGTTCGAGGTTCAAGACCACCCAGAAGTGATTCAAAAGAAAGGCCTGGTATCCTACAAAATCAGCCACTGACAACCCAATGGAATGTAGTTCGTCTCTGGCACACACAGGGTTGCCTTGAGTTGGAATGGTTTTATTTTATTTCCATCTACCTACTTACCTACCTAAGGAGCCTGGTGGGATAGTGGATTAAGCATTGGACTGCTAACTGCAAGTTTGGCAGCTCAAACTCACCAGCCGCTCCATGGGATAAAACTTTATAGCTTTATAAACCCACGGGAACACTTCTACTCTGCCCTACAGGGAGCCAGAATCAATTTGATGGCAGTGGATTTTTCAACTGATCTGTTTATCTACCTATCTATCTATCTATCTATCTATCTATCTATCTATCTATCTATCTAGCCTGTGTTTAAAGAAGAAAGTTTTCCATCTCCTAGAGAACTCTTGCATGTACATGCTCAGAAATCTCCAACAATACAGGAAGATGCACAAGGAAAATGGAAAGTCTCCTCCCTGCCTGGGTTTCCTTCCTGACAAACATTTTAGGGCACAGATAACATATATATCTATATATATTTGAAAATTTGCACAGAGTAGATTATACCAACTACATTTCCTGCACCGCTCCCTCCCCACCCCACTTAAATAAACTTAAGAGAAGGCTCCATCTCCCTCGTAGCCAAAGCAGATCTCCTGCATTGTTTCTGAGATTCCAGAGGATGCGGCTGTAACTTCATGTCTTTAACCAGTGATGGATATTTAGGCTGTTGCTGGGCTTTAAGTATTACCATCAATGCTACAAGCAATATCAGTGTACAGGCCTCCTGGTGAACTTTGGAGATGATAGCCAGTAGGTTAAGATCTGGCAGATGGACTACAGAGACAAAATATGCAGGCTTTTTTCATAGGTATTTTGACAGGTAGTGTCAAACTGCCATCCAGAAAGGCGGCACTCATTTATATTCTCCCCAAGAGGGCATGTGAAAGTTGAACATTGACTAAGGAAGACTGAAGAAGAATCAATGCCTTTCAATTATAGTGTTCGCAGAGAGTATTGAAAGTACTGCCAGAAGGACAAACAAATCTGCCTTGGAAGAAGTACAGCCAGAATGCTCCTTAGAAGCAAGGGTGTTGAGACTCTGTCTCACATACTTCAGTCTCTGGAAAAGGACATCCTGCTTGGTAGAGTGGAGGGGCAGAGAAAAAGAGGAAGGCCCCCAACGAGATGGATTGACACAGTGGGTGCAACAATGGGCTCAGGTATAACAACGATTGGGAGGATGGCGAAGGACTGGGCAGTTTTTTATTCTGTTATATATACGATTGCTATGAATTGGAATGCAGCAGTACATTGACAGGGAGCTGCCAGAAGTTCAGGCTGGATTCAGAAGAGGATGTGGAACAAAGGTTGTCATGACTGATGTCAGATGGATCTTGGCCCAAAGCAGAGCATAAAAGAAAGATGTTTACTTGTGGTTCGCTGACCATAATCAACTATGGATCACCTTGAGAAGAATGGGAATTCCGGAACACTACATTGTGCTCATGCAGAACTTCTACGTGGATCAAGAGGCCGTTCGTTGGGCAAACAAAATAAGGGCATACTGCATGGTTTAAAATCCAGAAAGGTGTGTGTCACGATTATATCCCAAGTGATACTTGGTGATCTCTTGTTGACTTGTAGCTCTTTATTCAAGAATTAAGGTGAGAGCATTTCATTTTAATGGACTCTTCACATTGACCTCTCAGTGAATTGTTTCTTCATGTACGCTGCCTAGCTCCTCCCCCCCCCCACCCCCATTTTTGTCTTCTTGATTTATTAAAGCTCACGGTCAAGGCAAGGGAATTGAACCTTTCTCTGTCACAGGTACAGCATTTGGCAGGGATCTTTCCACATGTGTATGGTGGTTCTTGTTTTGAGTTTTTCATACAGAAAATTCCTCTTTAATATTTCCCTTTCTGGCTTCTAAGTCTTAGATAATAAATGAATTAATAGAAATTTTCTTCTACACCTTTGAGGGTTTCATTGTTTACCTTTAGATGTTTGACACATCTGGAAGTTTACTTTGGTATGAAAGTGAGGCTATTCTACTTAATCCCTGCCCCCCTCAATGATTAGCCAGTTGTCATCTCCCCACTTATTTACTGACCAGTCCTTCACTAGTGTGTTGAGATGTCAGCTTTATTATAAACCATGTTTCTAGTTAGTTTACAGAAATCAGAGGTTCTATTTCTAGATTGACTATTAGGTTCCACTGTAATTTCTATTTCATCTTCAGTACTATGCTGCTTTAGTTATAACCGTTTCATTATGTGTATTCATATCTGACAAGGCTACTTTCCTCTTTTTATTTCTATTTCTCAGAATTTTTCTAGCAGCCTAGGCATTTTGGCATGCTTATTATTATGATTATTTTACAAATAAACTTTCATGTCATTTTATGAAGTTACAAACATGTTCAACTAGCACTGAAATTGAGGTGGCCTTGAATGTACAGATTAAGTTACAGACAAATGACACTTTTGCCATATTGAAGCTTCCTTCTCAAAGAACACCATTTACTTAAATCTTTTTTAGGTCTCACAGTAGAGATTTCCTCCAAGGAAGTCCTCTTAAGTTTATATCTGGGTATTTCATCATGCTGCTTGCTATTGCACCAAATCTTTGTTTCTTTTCTTTCCTTTTTCCCCAAACCATTTTATTAGGAGTTAATCCAGACATCATACCATTCCACAGTTAAATCATATCAAGCAGCTTTATACAATTCTTACCTGTCAGTTTCAAAGCACTTTCTTCCATCTTGAACTCCTGGATATCAACTCCCCCACCGTACCCCACGGCAACCCTATTCTAGTTGTTGTCTAACACGCTCCCTTGCTGATTATTATGTACACCGAAAACCAGCGATTGAGGACAAGCCAAGCCCAAGCCCACTGCCATCAAATCGATTCCAACTCACAGTGACCCTATTTTTTCATAGAGAAAGTTCTTCTTTAATCTTTCCCTTTCTGGCTTTTGAGTCTTAGATAATAAGTGAATTAATAGTAGTTTTAATAGAAAGCAGAGTAGAACTGCTCCCCAGGGTTTCCTAGACTGCAGATCTTTATAAGAGCAGATAGCCTTATCGTTCTCCCGCGAAGTGGCTAGTGGGTTTGAACTGTTGACATTGTGGTCAGCAGTCTCATGCTGAACCCACAGGGCCCCCAAGGATCTTCATGATCTAGGCCAGGAATCTCCATTCCCTTGGTCCAGAGTGGGGCTTTGGCATTGGCTTAAAAGTAAATACATAAAATAAAGCTCCCCAGATGATTCTAATGTACAAAGAGATTTCAAGAAATTGATTTTGTGAATTCCTACAGAGCTAAGAAAACCGCCTGCCATCCAGTTGATTCTGACTCAGAGTGACCCTATAGGAGAGGGTAGAACTACTTCAAAGGACTTTGGGGCCTGTACTCCTTTCTGGGAGCAGAAAACCTCGTCTTTATCCCCCAGAACTTGGTGGGTTTGAGCCTACAACTTTTCGGTTCGCAGCCCACTGTGTAACCAGCAGGGCTACAGAGCTAAGGAAGATTCCCAAGAAATACATGCTCACACAGGAAATGGCCTTCCTATGACCCTTCCCACACCCCTCCCATGGAGCTCCCAGATGGCACCACTTCAGTGGCACCTTACCTTGGTCTTTGCTTCTACCACGAGGACCACATCTTCGAGACGGATCCCAAACTCCCCGTCCTGATAGTAACCAGGTTCTGGGAGACACAGAGATTCTGGTAGCTTTAACTAGAAGGACGCCCCAACTCCAGGCTTCCTGTTCCTATTGGTGAACTGCTGGAGAGCCCAGCTGCCTGGCGACCCCTGGCTGCTGACTCTGGCAGACCTTCCAGTTGGCAGATGCTCAGTGGCTCAACAGTCATACCGTGCTGGGTCTCAGCTCTCCCACAGGAACACCCTTGACTCAACCTCCCTCTCCTTGAGCCCCAAGGGGGAAGACCCAAGAATCTATTGGGACCCTAGAGATTGGGGGCTTCAGAGTTGGAAGGTATAGGCAGGAACCGACTCCCAAGGGCAAAAAGCGGGTATGGGCTGAAGGGGCTTGGGCTAGAAGTGGGGTGGTGGTGGACTATATTGGACTGGGAGGAGCGGTGGAAGTGAGAAGGTGAGAAGTGACAGTCATGGGCCTGGTGTGTGCCCTGAACGCTGTCCCACCCAAAACTACAGTCTTGAGCCAGCCCAGGTCTGGGATGAGGAGGGTGTGGAGAGTCCCAGAGCCTTACCGATGGAAGTGAACATGCCCTTGGCCATGGCAATGTTGTTGGACTGGAATCCCACTGGCCCTGCGAGGGGAGATGGAGGAATGGTGTCGGCTCTCCTGCACGTGCCAGCTTGGAGGAAGAGCAGGTCGCTGGGGCTCCTTGGACAGCTGTAACACCCCTTTCCCCATCATGTTATCATCGCCCTGGGGCCGGCTCCAACCAGGCTGGCTCTGGCTCTGAGCTCTCGGGGCTCAGTCAGCTACTGGGCTTTGGCTGGGCACGCCTCTCTCTGGCACCCTCCTGGATGCCAAGAAGGCAAGAGGCATGGCAGACTCACTCACCCTGTGAGCGCCTCTTGGGGGCTTGGTCATTCTCATACTTGTGAAATGCTTTCCCTCCTTCCCAGCAGGGCAGCCCCCAGGAGTGACCCCAGTGGGTGAGTAGGAGACACCTACACTCGTGCACACACAGGAAGTTGCCGATGCCATGGCCGGTTCCATGGCCATAATTGAGTCCCACATCCCACAAGGCTCTGCGGGCAAATGCCTCCATCACTCGCCCTGGAAAAGAGACAGTACCCAGTTACTCTGCTGGGTTACCTTCCCGGGATGGTGGCTGGAGAGAGGAGCCTGAGGGAGGCAGGTAAGTGGGCAGTGGCATTTAGTGGGGCTGGGGAGGAGTAAACCCATGCGCTGCCCACACTGGCTCTTCTATTTGTGCTCCCCACTAGACCTGCCCCCCCCTCCCCAATTTTTTGCATTTCGTATCTTGTACCCATTCCCTAGACTTCTGACTTAATTATATTTTCTCCCCATCTGTCAAGACTTAGCACTGCCCTTGACACCTACTTCCTCTCAGCATCCTCCCATGACTGCTTGCGCCTCCTACCACTGAGCTACTTCATGAGCTAGGAGGCAGGAGACCTGAGTTCAAGGGCTGGCTCTGCCAAGCTAACCCTCGGTGTGACCTAGAGCAAGTCACTTTCTCTCTCTGTGCTGGAGGGCCGGCCTCCTCTGCATAAGGGGTGGGAATCCCACTACAGTCGGTGGGGTGGGGGTCCCATCTGCTTTCCCAAACCCACCTGAGGTGGCATCAGGAAAGATGAGTCTGGACAGGTCAATGTTTCCCATCAGTACTCGGGTGTATGCTTCCTGGTAGGGAGAGAAAGAGGTCATGTGGCAGGCAAGAGTCGAAGCACTGTTACCTGTCTGTGTGGGCAAAGGGGAGTGGGGAAGTGCTCCCACGTGGTCAGCCAGGTCCTGGGAAATGCCAAAGGTGACTGATGGGGACCTTCCCAAAGTGGGGGGTGCTAGGGGTGGTTTACAAGGGTGGTTCTAATTCACGTAGGAGAGTCATGTAGGGCCTTGGGAGTCAGACTTGTTCAATCACCAGCTTGGAGACTCAGGGTAGCTAGTTTTAACCTCTCTGTGCCTCTGTTTCCTCACTGGAAGTGGGATGGTCCTGGGGCCCAGTTCAAGGGGTCGTTGGTGGGATCTGGTAGAGTAAGGCATGCTGGGTGCCTCAGCCAGAGCTGGACCAGCACCCTGATGAAGGTGACTGTCCTTTCGTTTTCGGAAGGCCTGGCCCTTGGTCTGGGGTGGGCCAGTCCTCCTCCATTGGGCTGTTGTCTGTGGAAAGGGGAAGGAGCAAGGCCGACATTGGACAGCCGGCTCTTCCTGGTCACTCCCTGGGGCCATGTGGAGAAGGGGCGGTAGGCAGTGGGCTCAGACTGAGCTTGGAGCTCCTTGAGGCCTGAATAACATTGGGGTTTCTTTGTTTCCAGAACAATGTTTGGCCCACAGACAATCTCTGCTCGCTGGATGCATAGACATAGTCCCTGCCTCCTCACCAAAAATCAACCAACACAAACCCACAGCCATCAAGTGGCACGTGGACTCTGACTCATGGCATCCCCATGAGTGACAAACCAGAACCGTCCCATGGGTCATTTGAGGACTAAGGCACGCCTAACCTAGGCCAGGGCATTTCCAGTCGCCGCATATGCATGTGAAAGTTGGACATAGAATAAGAACTACCGAAGAACGGATGTAGTGCAATTACGGCGCTGGCGAAGGATATTCCAAGTGCCACGGACTGCCAAAAGAACAAGCAGATCTGTCTTGGAAGAAGTACAACCAGGGTGCTGCTGAGAGGCAAGGATGGCATGACTTCACCTCACATCCTTTGGCCATGTTGTCAGGAGAGACCAGTCCCTGGAGAAGGACACCCTGCTTGGTAAAGTCGTGGGGCAGTGACAAAGAGGCAGGCCCGGGATGAGAAGAGGGGACACACTGGCTGCAACAATGGGTTCAGTTACAGGAATAATTGTGAAGGTGGTACAGGGCCAGGGGCTTTTTCCGCTCTGTTGTACAGAGTTGCTACAAGCCGGAAATGACTTGCTCGGCACCTAACAACAGCAGCAACCTAAGGTTTTCTTGGCTCTAGTCTTTAAGGAAGCGGACCACCGAGCTGCTTTGTAAGCTGGGTAGGCTCACAAACCTCCAACCTTTCCGTTTGTGCCACCCAGGGACCTGCCCACCCGTCCCCAGAGGCTCCCTGTGGCATCCCAACAATGTCCAGCCTCTGTCCCAGGCTGACCAGCCTTCACTGAGGCCTGCAGATCTCTAGCCCTTCCCACCCATGAGCCTTTGCTGCTATCGTTTCTCCTGCCCCCTCCTCCCTGCTGGGCCGCTGTGTTCTCCCTGAGCACCCAGCAGAGGGCCGGGCACACAGACAACACTAAACACAGATGTGGGCACGGATTTCTTGAAGTCGGGCCGAGGTGCTGTCAGTGACCCGAATGGTCTTGGGGAAAGCACCAGAAGGGCTGGAGTTTCTGGCACTTGAGGTCACATGTGAGTCAGAATGGGCTCAATGGCAACTCAGCACCACACACAGACACACACCAACTATAGCAACTCTGGGCATCCGTTTTCGCCTGTGTATGACGAAAGGGCTTTGGCCCCCGGGGGTGAGGTGAGTGGGGGAAGTCAGGAGTGCAAGGCTCACCTTTTGGAAAGCGGAGGGGGTGCCCCAGTGGACCGTTCTGGTGATATCCGTGGTTCCGTCCCTGTGGAGAAGGAATGTCATCATGTGCAGCTCTAAGGAATACTTGGGGGTATGGAACCAGCTGCAGGGCCGGGTCAGGGCTTGGATGGGAGCCTGTCTGACAGTCGGATTCCTTCCATACCTACCCACCCACAGGCCCACCGTCTTAGCTGTTTGCTCAACCCAGGTGTCCTATGATCAGGCTGATTCTTAAAGCAAGGCTTCTCGGCACAGCTTCCCGGGGACGGAGGATAGACTTGTCCCCTTTGGGCAGAGGGGGAGCAGGCCCAGGAGCAGACAAGATCCTAACACTTCCCCTCATTTGGATGGTCATTTACTACTTAGAGAGCAAGTTCGCAGCCCACCCAGGGGAGTGCAGCAAATGGGGCCTTGTGAATCCCATTTCATATATGTATATTTTTTATTGGGGGCTTGGCCAGACACTGTGAGCAGAAGCCAAAAGGTGTGACTCTTCAGCACCACAGTGGCTGGTGGAAGGGCGAGGGAGAGATGGCCCCAGGGCCCTGGGTCCTCCCAGGGAGCAGGTCACAGGACAGGGCGTGGGGCCTTCATGAGAAGGAGAGAAGAGGAAGTGAGGTGACCATTTCCCTGGCCTCACCCTGCTCTGTGCACGCCCCAGATCCAGCAACGCCCCCACAAGTTCACTTCCCCTTTGTATATTGGCCTGATCCATCCCACAGGGCCAAAGCGGTGGCAACGAAAGCTGCTCTGTGGAGCTCTACGTCCAGCCAAGCGTCCTGTCACCCATTGCCTTCACGGTGTCCGCGTGCCTTATAGTGGCCTTGGAGTCCATGCCAACTCTTGGCCACCTCTGGGGTGTCAGAGTAGGACTGTAACCCACTGGGTTTTCCAGGGACGCCTTTTCAGAAGTGGACCCTGAACCAACCTCACGAGGCCTTTCTTCTGAAGACATGTTAACCACTCAGGGATTCATTCCACAGAGTAAAACTCCTCAAACCAAACCCATTGCTACTTGAATTGATTCTGCCTTGTAGTGACCCTATACGATAGAGAAGAACTATCTCATGGGGTTTCTGAGGCTGTAAATGATTACCAAAGCCAACTGCCTCATCTTCCTCCCATTGCATGGCCGGTGGGTTTGAATCACTGTCCTCATAGTTAACAGCCCAATCTTGAACCCAAGGCACCTCCCACTGCCTCGGAGCAGATTTGGACTCCTACGGCCCTAGACAGGGTTCATGAGGCTGGAAATCTTTATGGGAGCAGACAGCCTCAACTTCCTCCAGCAGAAGGGCTGGTGGATTTGAACCATCCACCTTGCTGTTAGCAGCCCAGCGCTTACCGGATAGTGCCACCAGGCTGGGAAGCTGTCCTAAGCTACTGCTAAGTGCCTCATTACTTCAGTGACTCCCATTCCTCTCACCCCAAGCTTCCTATGGACCACTTGCTTCTCAGACAATAAGGGACAATCTTTCAGATCAGCACAGCTCCTGTGTGAATGAATGGTTGCTCACACATTTGTAAGGCATGATGTTAGTGTGGGCACGTACAAGTATTTAGGTTGTTCACTGACAAAGGCAAGCCAGCTAAGGTGGGGGGAGGGGATCGCCATTCATCTCATGGTTATATACTAATCTCCAGGGGGGAGCCAGGGATTATGGAGTCCTGGTGTGGGGAGAGAGCCCTCCTCCGTAACCCTGCCCTTAGACACGCACATCCTCAAAGAGTACATACACATATCTGCTCACCAAACCAACACCAAACTCAATGCCATCAGGTGGATGCCCACTCCTGGCGGCTCTACAGAACAGGGTAGAATTGCCCCTGTGGGTTTCTGAGACTGCAGCTCTTTGTAGGAGTTTCCTCTCTCTGAGTGGCTGGCGGTTTTGAACTGCTAACCTTGCAGATTGCATCCCAACTTGTAACCACTATGCCACCAGAGCCCCCAAACCAACCCCACTGCCATCAAGTGGATTCCAACTCCTGGGGCTTGAATCACTCCCCTTTGGGGCAGCACCCAAGCACTTAACCCTGGGTGTCACCCCAAGCCTATGCGGGGAAGGCTGTTCAGAGCCCATTCCATCCCGCCCTTGCCTTACTCAGTGAAGGCCCCTGTGACTTGGGTAGGGAGAGCTTGAGCAAGTTCTTGGGCTTTCTTGGCCCCGCCAGGCAGGCTTGGCACCCAGGATGTCCGAGCTGCGATAGCTGGGCTGGGGGCGGGGGAAGCACGTACCAGTATTGTCCCCCAGAATCCACCAAGTACATCTCATCCGAGGATAGCTTGCGGTGCACCTCCTTGGTGGGGCTGGAGAGGAGAGAGAAGGCTGAGGTAGGAAGAGCCTTCACCTGCCCCTGGCCTGGGTGGGGCAGGGGCCTTGAGTGAGTGCAGAGGAGACCCCCGCCCTTTAGGTCTTCTTGGGAAGTCAGTGTCTCCCAGAGGGCTCTGGGAGGGTACCCAGCTTCTACTGCTAACGTCCTCAGTTCATGTCCATTGCTGAGCACTTTACAGAGTAAGGCCTCGGTTCCTGGAGCGGGGAGTGAGAGGGATGTGCCCGGAATGCCTGAGTCAGGAAAGCCCATAGAGCCCACCAGGGCTGACATTTCCTATGAGACATAAGGAGAGAGAGGCCTACAGAGCCAACAGGACATGGGTCACACCCTGAGAGAGGACAGTGATGGAGTGGGGACCTGGTCGCAAGTCCTAGAGGCTCAGACCAGTTCTTTTTCTAGAACTTCCTGTTGGCTCCTTCTGAGAGCTGGGGGGCCTTGGGGGTGAGGCCAGGGAGGCTGGGTGGAAAAGTAGCTAGCCCACCGCTCCATACTGAGGGGAAAGGACTGGGGCAGACAGAGCAGTGGAGAGAATTCTGGGCCCTGCATAGCCATCCCTGACCTCTCCCTGCCGTATCCAGGTATCTGATCAGCAGCTTGCACCTGCAGGTGTTGGTTTTCTATGATGGTCCCTGCTGAGTGAACAAGCCTTTCCCAACGGATGATCGGGATCTCAGCTAACAGGATGCTGAAGGAAACTGTCGCAGTCCATCCCCACCTCCCTTCTAGATCCCTCAGCTCCGAGGGCACACAGACTTCCAAATTCTTGGCGGGGCAGACGGCTCAGATCTTTTTATTTCAAAGAGACTTTCCACCCCAGGCTGGGGGCCCCTAGCCCCCACAGTATGAAAGGTTTCAAGCCAGAAGAGGCCCAAGAGCATTCCCTTCCCTGATCAGGAGCCCCTCTACCACACCGAAGGACACATCTTTCCCCTGAAGTACCTGTAGTGGGCCAGCGCAGCATTCAGGCCACTAGCCGAGATGGTTTCAAAGCTGGGTCCTGAAGAGAACTCTTCGTTTCTGGAAGGCCCAAGGCAGGAGTAAGGAAAAGTCAGTGTGGGCCCCAGGGTGCTGTTTGGGCCCCGGGTTTCTAACCAGGGTACAGGAAGTCCACAGCTGCCTCCACCAGGCTGACTCCCTTCACCTCCATTTTACCAAGGCCCCCGTATCTCACAGTCAGTGACTGAGTAAGCAAGAGTGAAGAACTGAGAACACCCTGAGCCTGGAGTAGCTCCCTGCACCTCAAGCCTGCAGATTTCCCGCGGCCTGGGCAAGTAGGTCCTCTCTCCAACTTCATATTGCTGTTCTGAGGCAGGATGGGCCCTGGCAAACCCCGAGCCCGCTTTCCTACAAAGAGCGATCTCATGTCTAAAAGTCGTCACTAGGGGGTGCTGTTGGGTTGTAGCCCTGCAAGTGGTCCCACTTTGAGGGGCTGGGACTGGAATTGACTAAACAGCAGTGGATTGGGGTTTGGAGAAACGAGATCCAACACCCCCGGCCAGTTCCCCCACCACCCAAGAACTTGTCGCTCTTTGTTCTGAAACCCAAACCAATCTGACTCGTGGTGACCCAATAGGGCAGGGCAGAACCGCCCCTGTGAGTTTCCAAGACTCTTAACTCTTTATGGGAGCAAAGAGCCTCATTTTTCCTCTGAGGACAATGGCTGGTGGTTTCAAACTGTTGATCTCTTGGGGTAGGGTGCGTGTGTGTGTGTGTGTGTGTG